ACATAGCTCTGATACTGGCCAAAAATGTTTCATCATCATTTCAGTGCAGAAAAGAACTGTGAACAAAAACCTTTTCCAGCCTCAACATTCAGTGCAGTGCTTTGAGCACGCAGATCGACTTAATGCAGTTTCTGCTTGCCCTGCAAAATAAGAAAGCTTACCACTGATTTCATTATATCAAGGAAGACTTCTGACCTGCAGTCAGTCAAATGAAAGTAAGTTACTGAGGCAGATGAACGCCAGGTCCATTGGCGAATAAGTGTTAAGTTCCCGAAAATTGGCAGTCACCCAAATTGGTTGCTGCAGCAGTCGAGAATTCCGACCTGTAGCCTTACTGCTCCTCAGACAACGTTCACTTTGCTCTTTTGGAAATGCCGAGCTGATTTCTTGTGTTTTTGTTCTCTCAGATCTTTGGTGCTGTCAGCAATTTACAGATGTGCAGTCAATTTTTTTTAACTGTGGGTTTCCAAAAAAATTATTTTTTGGAGAGCTTAGTCTTCTTACGACTTCGAACACTAATTTATGCGTGGAATTCAGGATTTAATTGCTCTGCTGCTTGGCTAAAGTTTATTTGTCTTGTAAATCCTACTTGTTTCCTTAAATTTTTTTGGGTGAACAGTCGACATTTACTTCGTTTTTGAGGTCTTTTCTTTGTTTTTTTGATTGCTCACTGTTGCTGTTTTTCACCTTCTCTTTTTTATCTAGTTGTTTGGTAAAGTTTCAGATGAAAATGGCGATTAATGTAAGGCCAAGAAGACTATAGTAAAAGATTCTGTGACAGTTAAACTTGGGCTAGCACTTCATATGTTTGACCAATTAGGTCAAAATGGGGCTGCCTATGATACAGGTGGGCCACTGTTAATTTTATTTTTGTATTGTTTCATTTACTTACTCCTTAAGTAACCGAATTTGAGTTATGAACAAATTAGAGTTGGCTGAGACTTTTTTTGCAAGTTAGAAAACTTGAAGTGAGGAACTCCAAACTAATTGCTTTAGTATAGCTGCAGGAAATTAAAGTTGTCCCAACTACTTGGTTGAATGCCTTTTTATTTTTGCTTTTATTGGAGTACTGATCAATAACAAACTTTTTCTTTTAAGTAAATGCAAGCTTGAACAAATATGCACGACACCTTGCGCCGCTTTTCGCTTGTCAGAACTAACAACATCTTTAACAACAAAATTTTTGTAGAAATTACACGAGCGTTGCAGGAAGTGGTAGTTTT